GTTTATCTGATTGGCAAAGTCAATACCAACGTGGCTCAACAGTGACTGGAAAGACACAGTGTACAGCACCTCCGAAATAGCTCAAAATATGAGGCTCGCGAACGAGCACTGAGCCACCCCGTTATAGTGAAATCGACTTGTAAAATTGCATAGAAATACCCCGTTACAAGGAATCACTTAACCTCAGCCATTTGCACGGCACGTTGGGCAGTGGCACATATACATTACATACATCGTAGCAACGATCTTCGACTTTTCGGAGCTGTGGCCGAACAGTTAGTGATCCTGGTCACCAGAACCAGTCAGAGGGAGGGCGACTGCTTGGGACAGACCAACCATAGAAATAAGAAATTGGGCACCTAAAAAGAACCGTTTGCATGGTTTTGGGCTTCCATCGCAAATCAATCAATGAGCCACAACATTGTCATCTAACGAAAGAGCGAGGTTCGAAAAGCCAGTAGTGGAAAGAAAACAAACAAAGACTAAAGGAACGTCTAGGCACCATTGAAACACATTTGTTCACCTACACCACGGGAATTCATGGCAATCTTCCGGCTATTAGTTGTAGCTAGTAGAAAGTGCTGCAAGTGAAGTGCGAAAGAAACAAAATGTAGTTAAAAAAGACGAAATGGACAATAAGCACCATGACTGGTGAAAAACTCGATCAATCTCTGCGCTGTGTGAGTGAAGACAACGGTCCCCTTTATGTTGCGTTGACTGGCAAACTCAATACCAACGCGTTTCAGCAGGGAGTGCAAACAGGGTGCAGCGCCTCAGAAATATCTTCAAATATGAGGCTTACGAACGCGCAGGGAGCCACCCCGTTACAGGGAAATCGACTTATGAAGTTGCATAGAAATACCCCGTTACAAGGAATCACACAACCTCAGCTATTTGCACGGCATGTTGGGCAGTGGCATTGACACACTTGAAATACATCGTAGCAACGGTCTTCGACTTTCCACAGCTGCGGTCGTACAGTCAGTGACGTTAATCACCAGTAGCAGTCATAGGAAGGGGGATTGGGTGATACAGACCTCCGACAAAAATAGGAAACAGGTACCTAAAAACACCCTTCCCGGCATTTGATAGATCACCCTTCTTACGGTACATTAGACCGTTTTTTCTGAACGACAGATCGACTTCATTCGATGCGCCTTCTGGATAAATCAGGCTAACCAGCTGCTGGAAACAGCAAAATGGTTTAACTGATGACTTCAGGACATAAAAGATTTTATTTCGTTACCAAAAACAACTGAAACTAGAAGCTAGAAATGCTTATCTTTCACTTTCTGCATATTTTGTTATACATAGCCATTATTCATGTTTAGATTAATTTTTGCTCATGATCAGTTTTACATTTGCCTTATGCTGTCGACTAACCACAGCCTTGAACATTAATAATAAGAAACGTTCATTAAGTTTTCTTCGGAACATTAATGGTAAACTGCTATTCTTCTCAGATCACTGATTGAGAAACCACAGCGATTCTGTTAGTCTTGACAATACGTTCAGCAGTACGGTTAAGAAAAACACGGTACCCAACGTGGTTCAAGAGCACGACAAATAAATGCAA